TCCCAAGCAAACTGGTCACCCTGTAGATGCGCACTCTCTAGGACTGATGGCATCGCAAGATAACAAACATAAGGAAGAAAGGTTGAAAAAAGGCAAAAACAAAACAAAAAAATCAGTAAGTAGAAACACAGGATTATACTGTTAACTTGTTTTTGCCTGATTATGACAGATCCCAAAGAAACAAAACATTTTGTCCTTAATTAGAAAGTTTCATCCAACCAGCCTAAAAGCACTACCTGCCCAGGGAGAGAGAAGCCCATGCACCATTACCAGAAAGCAAAAGGAAGTCTAGAAAGAAGTCAAACATGCCACCTTTTTAGGTAGCATGGGGGAAGACACTTTTAGAACAAGTATTAAATAATACCCTGAGTCATCCATTGTTGTTCAAGTTATCTCAGCTTAATTTCTCTTGATGTATGGACTGCTAAGACTCCTAATTATGTTATTGTACAGAGCATATATGAATCATTAGCTTACTTGCTTCAAAGTGAAATGAGAATCCATTCATTGGAAACAAATTTTCTTCCAATCATGACGTTAAATGACAAATGCTTTCCTCACATCTACCATGTTGTTACATAACTTGACAAAGGACACACAGTAATAAAATAAAAGAGGCACTAACAGAACTACAAAGGTGCATTCACTCCAAAGCAAATCTCATGAAGACAGAGTAGTAGCGTATCCTAATAGAAGCTTGAAATTCTTGTCTCAAATATGGCTAGACAGCACGAAATTCGGGTGCCTGTCGGCACAGGTTGCAAACTTTCACTGTACTGAATCCTCTAGAAGGCTTTATCTTCTCCCACCTTCACATTTGACTTCTTTACAGAAAGTCTTGTTTCTCACTATCTTCTGTGAAGCCTCTCATTAGAGATAAATGCTGCTGGCCTCCATTCCTAATTACTAAGAAGCCTCCTTCACACCCCTCTGCCAGCACAGCACAGTAAAATTATGCCTTCAATAACCTGGTGATTCAAGCCAAATCAGAAATGTGATCCCAACCCCTTTTCCAGTTAAAACATGAACACATTTAAAGGTACATGTATACATATCTAAGAAATTATATCAAGTCCTTTCATGGAGGTACCTTGTGATGTCACAGTCAAGCCTCATAACTTTTAGAAAGTTTATTTGAATTTGACCGCAGGAAGAAAAAAGGCTAGCTTGAAAAGGGAGGCTTGCTTGAAACCTGCCTGCAAAGGAGATTTCTGTTTCTTTAGATGGGATAAATGCGATGCAATAACAAAGAACATAGACTGAACTCAAGTTGAAGTGGGCTGAAAAGCATGAAAGGAATCAACATCAGGCTTTCTGCCAACACCTTTCAATAGCTAAGAGAAGAAGGGGAGCAAAAGAACCAGCAAAAGGTGTCTGAGCTACATCTCTGGAAAAGAGAACATAGATTTGAGAAAAGTTTGAGTAGGAAGAAAAGCAACTAGAGGAGAAGGCCTCCTGTAGAATAAAAGCAGCTTCTGCCTTCTTGGCTAACTGACAAAGAGGTAAGTTATGGAATAAAAGGTTAATTTAATTAACAAAATACTCAGGTGCAGACGTTACTTCATGTCTGTTGGCTGACAGGAAAATAAAAACAATTTCTGATCAGAGTTTAGCATAACCTTTTCACTATTAAAAGGTGGTATTTCATTTTCTTGTTTGTCTACTTAGCAACTGACGATCACACACTGTATCTTTGCTGTCCGTTCCCTGAGATGCATGGCCTGTGGTTACGTGATTTCCATAAGTAATTGTGTGACCTTTATTTCAGGAACAGGAGTGCAGCAGAGCAACAAGAGCTTTTATAAAATACAATGTGCATATATTTGAGAGCTTTAACTGGAAAACAAAATTGTATGTATGTCCCCAATTCCAGACAGGATCAGCCTGAAGTCCTTTCCAGCTCAGACCAGACCCAGTCTATTCCCATCCACTGCCATGGGCAGGGACACCTCCCACCAGACCAGGTTGCTCAAAGCCCCATCCAGCCTGGCCTTGAACACCTCCAGGGATGGGGCAACCACAGCTTCTCTGGGCAGCCTGTTCAGGTGCCTCACTGCCCTCTGAGTGAAGAATTTCTTCTTTATATCTAATGTAAATCTACCCTCTTTTAGTTTAAAGCCAGTACCACTCGTCCCGTCACTACACTCCCTGACAAAGAGTCCCTCCCCAGCTTTTCTGTAGGCTTCCTTTAGGTACTGGAAGGTCTGGAGACTGTAAGGTCTCCCCAGAGCCTTCTCCAGGCTGAACAACCACAACCTGGTTCAACCTCTCCTTCAGCCTGTCTTCACAGGAGAGGTGCTCCAGCTCTCTGACCATACATGATTCCTGTAGGAGTGTGCTAGTCTCACAATGCAAGCCATTTCCACCATAAATGCTCATCAAAGACCCAAATCAATTATTTAGCAGTTCTCCAAAAATAATGAATAAAACATTGATCTAAAACTAAGGAATATATGATTCCTAAAATACTTCTCTAGACATGACAAATAACTTGCACATCTGAAAAAAAAATCGAGCAGATGGTATGAGTCAAGAACAAACTAGCTGTCTTTAATATATATTCTATTCAAAATGGCATCTGTGGTTTCCTCTATATGTTTTTGTCATGCTGAAGCCTGACACTGCATATTCCTGGGAACCAGTCAATGCCAACGGCCATTCCAGTGCCTCCAAGCACTTCTAGAACTGCTTCTCCATTTAGATTATCCCAAAGGAATCTGAAATTTTAACTGCAACCATTTCTGCCTTACTTATGAAAAAGAAACCTAGTTCAGTTTACTTACTTTTTATGGTTCAGGTTGGAGAGGCACCTGATGTGATCAGATTGACCAATCAATCAATCGAACAATCAGACAGATGTTCCCAAATTTTGTCTCTGTACATCCACGTACCTCACCCAGGACTTTGAAATTATTATGTAAAAGAAACTGTGGTTATAGGGGCTGCAATGCCTCCCAAGAAAGCAAAAAGACAAATTCTTCTGATATCCAGACTGAATTTATCACCAATGTTGATGAATCTCATGGTATTTATTACATGTTACATAACATTTGATATATATATTTTTAAATGATCGCTCTTGAGATGTAATCATATGAGAATAATATTTGCCATTCCTAGAACCAGAGAAAATAAAAATATAAACTTTAAAGATTCAAATTATGAAGCAAAAATACTGATTTCTTCCTTTGTTTTCAAAACATAATTTTCATTTAATTTCCTGACCAACAGGGAGAAACAGTGTAGAATAGGCACTTTGAGCTAATATTCACGTCTTCTAAAGACCTGGAACTAACATGTTGATGGGTCCTGTTTTCCAAAATATTTCCGGATTTATAATTGTTACAGGAACCATGGAGAGTGTTTATCTGCAAACAACACTGTACTGAGAACAACAGCGATCGATACGTAACAGCTTTGTTCTCTGTGGAACAGTAACGATCTATTCTTATCTGCCGTCGTCATTCAACTGGTACAGACTTTAGAACAATCTGTTTTTTTAATGAAAAACTTTAACATTCAACAAAGCTTGGTGGTATTGTCATTGCAAACAAAACCCAACACATAAAATAAAACTGGTCTGAATTCAGTAAGAACATATTTTTCTGCTATGGAAACCATAGCACAATTAATGCAGCTGGTCAGGAGCTTACAGTCACGCTCCCAGAAGCTAAGGCATGGTCCATTTCATAGACCAAGACCTCTTGTAATGTGTAATTGAATACAATATAACATATAGGAACTACACAACGTCTGCTGCACATTTGATGTAATGTAATAACTACAGATAAGTATTGGTTACTTTCCTGTGTTGAACAAGGAGATTAATGTTGGAAGTCCCAGTGGCAAGTCCCAGTGGGTAAGTCATACGACTTATCAATAAAGTACAGAAGTCTCCGCAGTAAATGCAGGATAATGATACTTCTATCACACTGTAAATCCAAAGCTAGGGATTTTAGCACACTCTCACCAATAAAAATACTGCTTCTTATGGTGGTATCCAAAAAGCAATGAAGTCTATGCACTTTGATACTTCTGATGCTGTTTTCAATCAAAAGGCAGTAGCTTTCCAAATGTAAACCTTAGCTTCAACCTGCCACATTAATGAACTGCATTCAACATCATTCAGTACCACCATAAAGTAATTCCATTTAGTCACATATGCAATCAAAAACATGAGTAATATTTTTAAAAGTGATGTTTGCTTTCCTTATTTCAATCATAATATTCATGTGTTCTACAATACATTTTATGCTGCAAAATGGAAGTCTTGCTATGAATTGCAGAAGAAATCAGTTTCTTGGGAAAGTCTTCCACTGCATACTTGCTATTTAATATCATACAGCTTATTTGAAGAGTGCTGCATATACATCAAGTGACTAAAAACACAGACCTTTTAGATGTAAAACTGGAAAAGAATCTGGAGGTTGCACTGAAACTTTTCAATTCATCAACTTTAAGTGCACTGCAGTTCAGAAGTTACACCAGATATGAAAAGGTTTGCTCTTTATCTTTTACTGTAGGAATCCATCACCACTTCCTAAAAAAAAAAAAAAAGTCAAGAACAAAGAGCGACTCGCGCCCCAGCGACTCGCGCCCCACAGCGACTCTGCGCCCCAGCGACTCGCGCCCCAGCGACTCGCGCCCCAGCGACTCGCGCCCCAGCGACTCGCGCCCCAGCGACTCGCGCCCCAGCGACTCCGCCCCAGCGACTCGCGCCCCAGCGACTCGCGCCCCAGCGACTCGCGCCCCAGCGACTCGCGCCCCAGCGACTCTCATTTTCACATAGTCCATTTGTCAATCTGCCAAATTCTTAAGAACCTCCTTCAACTTCAGGCTGACCTGTGTGCACTTGGGCTTCTGAGACCTTTTTTTTGTTTTCCTCCAGTGCTTGGAAAGGACCTTAGAACCCACATAAGTAATTTCACAGGAAACAGACAATGTGAATGAAGTACTCAAACTCCTCAACAGTAACAACCACAGAACCCAGGAACACTTACCTGCTGTCTTCTGAAGTCGAGTCACTTCCAAAGTGCTTTGCAGTGAAATAGTGGCACCCGGGTTTTTCTGCAGAAGTCACCGCCAATATAACTAGCTCATAGAGTCTCTAATACTATTTCACAGAGAGGGTAGAAAACATGAAGGAAAAGCAACCTGGTAGGGAACAATGAGCCCGATTCAGCACGAGAGAAAAACACCCTCGGCTTCCCAAGCCTCAGTCTCTCCTGGGGAGCCAATTCCCCCACCAGTCCTCAGGCTTCCTATATAACAAAGGTGAAATGACCCACACCTGGCAGGTTTCACTTAAAAGGGTGAAGCCAAGAGACCTTGTGGTATAGGCTCATCAACCTGGTTTCAATGTTTAAGGTTCAATTGCTCCTTATTGCTAGTAGAAATAACCTGACAAGGGGCTTAGTGGTTAGAGTTGACCTAATGAATTAAATACAAAAGGCATGTAAGGGTCATATTTCTGGTAGTCATTCTGCAAGGAAAATTAGTACAGAGCTTGTTAAAATAAGATAAATCAACAGAAATAAAGAAATCAATAAAAGAAAAAAGAAAATGACCTAAAAGGCAAAACTGCTATCCTGGATTTTCATCTGTCTAGTCACGACAGATAAGGAATGTAGCAATCAGAAAGACTTTACTTGACATTAATGTTGCTTAAATTTGCTTTTCTGAGATCTCTTCTTTATGCCAGACTTTTCAAAATCTAGCGCCATGACCTCCCACTGCAGTATTTACTTTGGCTGCATATAAACTATCACGTATAAATGCCAGGCTCCGGATCCTCACTCCCTATTCAGGACAAGGACCGGGCTGAAAGTTTTGGCTTTAATTTGGTTACATGACTACATTGCTGTCGTCGTGGTTTCCCCCAGCCGGCAGCTAAGCACCACACAGCCGTTCGCTTGCCCTCCCCACTCTTTCTATGGAATTCTTTCTATGGAATTCATTTCTATGGAACGGGGGAGAGAAATAGGAAAACGAAGCCTGTGGGTCGAGACAGGCAGGACAGAGCAAGAAGCTGAAGCTGTCCTTGGCTTGGTGTAAGCACTGCTCTGCAACAATTCAAACATCAGCGTGTTCATCCTAATCCAAAACATAGCACCCTACCAGCTCCTGGGAGGAATGATAGCTCTCTCCTAGGCTGAAACCAGGACAGCTGTGTTCAGGCAGGTCGTGGGGAGAAGATTGGCTGGCTTGGGGGAGCTTCCGTACACGTGGCTTTTAGGCTGCAGCCAGCGTGTTCCTCTAGATCTGGAAGTTTGAAGATGGCTGAGTCGGTTAGAAAGCCGCCTGGTGGAGAAGGACCTGGGAGTGATGGTGCATAGTCAGCTGAATATGAGCCAGCAGTGTGCTCAGGTGGCCAAGAAGGCCAACGGCATCCTGGCTTGTATCAGAAACAGCGTGACCAGCAGGGCTAGGGAGGTGATCGTCCCCCTGTACTCGGCTCTGGTGAGGCCGCACCTCGAGTACTGTGTTCAGTTTTGGGCCCCTCGCTACAAGAAGGACATCGAGGTGCTTGAGCGGGTCCAGAGAAGGGCGACAAAGCTGGTGAGGGGCCTGGAGAACAAGTCCTACGAGGAGCGGCTGAGGGAGCTGGGCTTGTTCAGCCTGGAGAAGAGGAGGCTCAGGGGTGACCTTATCGCTCTCTACAGGTACCTTAAAGGAGGCTGTAGCGAGGTGGGGGTTGGCCTGTTCTCCCACGTGCCTGGTGACAGGACGAGGGGGAATGGGCTAAAGTTGCACCAGGGGAGTTTTAGGTTAGATGTTAGGAAGAACTTCTTTACTGAAAGGGTTGTTAGACATTGGAACGGGCTGCCCAGGGAAGTGCTGGAGTCCCCATCCCTGGAGGTCTTTAAAAGACGTTTAGATGGAGAGCTTAGGGATATGGTTTAGTGGGGACTGTTAGTGGTAGGTGAGAGGTTGGACTGGGTGATCTTGGAGGCCTCTTCCAACCTAGGTGAGTCTCTGTGGTGTGAGGGGGACAGAGGTGGCATGACGGGACATGAGTGGCATGAGGCGATATGGGTGGCATGAAGAACAGGGATAGCACAAGGGGACAGGGATGGTGTGAAGGTAATGGGGATGGTGTGAGACAGCAGGGGTGGCCTGAGGGGACTGGAATTCCCCAAGGGAATTGGAAAGGTGTGCAGGGGATGGAAAGGTATGAGGGCACATGTTTCTCAACCCATCCACCTTGTGGGGCCTGACAGGTTTTGGAGCAAAAAGTCACACCACTACCACCAGGTCTTCAATTGTAGTTTTATTGTCAGTAGGGTGGTGTTCAAATGTCCCCCCCAGGCTCAGCTGCAGAGCCAGCAGCCATGCACACCTATATTGTGTCTCGCTGCCCCAGGGAAAGGACAGGGCTGTGGCCAAGAGAGCCCACGCACCAGGGCACACGCTGCTGGCTCTTTTACATCCCCTAATGACCACTCAGGTCTGCCTAAACATCCATACAAATACAACACAATTCCACGGTCAGATTATAAGCAGCACAGCATGTGCTCTCCAGCTCGTGCTGCCTCTGAGATCACTTCCAGCCTGTGTCCAGGATACTGCTGGAGAGCTATTTGGCTGCACACGGCTCCTTGTACTTCATTAGAGGACCTGTATCTCCCAGGAGTCCCTGTCTGCCCCTTTTCATAGAATCATAGAATGATCTAGGCTGGAAAACACCTTCAAGACCATCAAGCCCAACCATCAACCTGACCTACCAAGTTCTACCTCTAAACCATGTCTGGTAGTGCCACATCCACACATCTCTTAAATACCTCCAGGGATGGGGACTCCAACACTTCCCTGAGCAGCCTGTCCCAGTGCTTGAACACTTTCTTGCGTGGTAGGGGCTGGCTGTGGAGTGGACAGAAAAGGCTGCTACAGCCTGACATAAGTACACAGAGATGCAGACGTCCTTGCTAAAGCAGTGTCCAGGCTGACCATGAGCAGCTCAGTCTCTGCAACAAGCAGAAGAGCAGCAGCTGCTCTTCTAGTGCAGCAGGGTCAGTGTGTCAGGAGCCTAATTAGGCAGGAGTGTAAATTCAGTATGCCAGGGACACACATCAGCTGGAGGTGTGAACACCAGTTCTTGAACTTGTCAGCACAAACCCTTCATTTTTAATTTCCTATGCTCAGCCATGTGACAAGCTTATCTCAATGCAAGTGCTTAGTACTTTTCAAGTGGGAAAGGCTGTATCTCAGCACAGCAGCTGGCCTGCCTATCCTGATTGCTCTTGGCTGAAAGAATAAAAATGTGAAAACTTCTGACTCTTTTTTCCTTTCTCCTCTCTTAGGGTCTGGTTACTGGAGACTGTGCATTCACTGTGCAATGTAGCTGCTTGTCTGCTATAATTTCAGTTAGACAACCAAGGACAGTTCCCAAAAGCCTGGGCAACACCAGCTGCCCACCACATCCTTGCTTCATGTGGAAAGTGTTCCTTAAAAAAATGTTAACTGCAGACTCTTTCTCGTGGCTATTATCTACTGAGTTAAGTAACTCACAAACAAAGAAACATGAATATATGTGACAATTCTTTTAAATGCAGAGTTTCAAATAGCAAAGGAAACAAAGAACGAACGCTAAATAAATTTCCCCATGTAAAACCCTTTTTCACTCAAAAAAATATGCTAATTAGCATTTAAAATAATATCCCAAAGAAAGTCATCTTTAATAACATTAACACAATGCAGTGCCTTTCAAAGAAGATTTTTTTTATTTTTATTTTTTTTTGTAAATGAATCTGAAACTCAGCCATTCATCCCCCAGTTATTCAATAACAATGTATAAGTCGTATTGCTAAGTCCATGCGTTAAAGCTGCTTCCTTGGAGGGTGAACATGGCAAACACTGCTCTATACAGGCTATTGATTATTTTTTTTGGCTGACCACATTTTGACTATAGGAGTGACAATGAGCTGTAAATATTTATTATGATAATTTGTGTGGTTTGTGGTTTAATTACTGGCAAGTGCTAACACAGAAGGATAGACACCTCATTAGAAATACAAATCAAATTTAAAAACTAATAAACAAAGCCAGTGGGATATTGCCTCAAAAATGTAATCAAATTATCTTCCCTTCAGTCTTCCAGAAGGATGAACAAGTCATTTTAGGAAGGTGCAGTATGAATTTATGCTCATTGCCCACACTTTGTTTTCCACACACAGCAGAAACCTGGCTGACTACACCCGGTTCCTGGGGCGCACCCCTGACAGCTTCCACCTCCGCATGCCTATACAGCCAGGCAGGACATGTCACCACATCCCAGGTCCTCACCCCATCACAGATCTGGGAATTGCACTTGCAGAATGTATAGGTGTACACACCAGTATAGACATGTTTATGATGATGTAGATGTATAACCAATACTAAAAATACCTCCCTGAAACAAGCTAACTGTTATAAGTTGCCCCCTTAATTAATTTTCAGAGAGCATTGCATTAATCATAGAAATGAATTTATTGAGTAAGCAACAGCAAGCAAAACAGTGCTGGGCGGCCGGGGAGTCTCGGCTCCGCCAACGGCGCGCACCTCACCCCCCCCAGGGTCCCTTTTTATATCTTGGTGATTTCAGGATTACGCAGCACGTCCGGGTATGTTCTGCGACTGCGCGCACTGTTGCTAGGGGGTCGTCTCTGTCCCTCTGGTGGTCGTGAAGATGAAGGCCGTAGTCTTCCTCGGCGTTGTGGTTCAACTTCTTTCTTTATTTGGTCATGTTGGCCCAGCGTGAGACAGGAAGGCAGGATGTTGATACACTAGTTTAACAACTTATCAGGAGATGGTTACATGAACTTTGCAGCAGTGTTTTTTGAACAAAAGAGGCTACTGAGATGCAGAAGGGGAGAAGGGGAGAGGGTTCTCTTTTTTGTTACATTAAGCAAAGGAATTTTCATAGTGTCTAGCTAAGCATTATACAGCTCCTTACTTCAGCAGGGAGTTTTCACAACTCCCATTCCTCAAACAGAACTCCTTGTTTTTACAAAAGACAATGAACAAACATTTATTGTGTATTACACTAACTATGAATTAAACACTGTGATGAGTGAAATGTGTTCAAATACTTTTTTTTTTTCTATAAAGGTGTGGTGGTTTTACCCTACTGGGCATCTGAGCTCCACCACAACCACTCCTCTCCACGGGCTGCAGCTCCGGCCCGGGGCCTGCTCCTGCGGGGGCTCTCCATGGGCCGCAGCCTCCTCCAGGCCACATCCACCTGCTCCAGCGGGGGCTC